CAAAACACCAATAGGTATGTCTCCATATAGACTTGTTTTTGGTAAATCTTGTCACTTACCAGTTAAGATTGAACATAAGGCTTACTGGGCGGTAAGACGCTGCAACATGGATTTAGAAGAAACTGGTAAGTCTAGAAAGTTGCAACTGCTAGAGCTTGAGGAATTAAGGTTAGAGGCTTATGAGAATTCGAGAATTTACAAAGAGAAAACTAAATTGTTTCATGATAATTTAATTTTGAGAAAACAATTTGTTGTTGGTCAAAAAGTTTTATTATACAATTCTTGTTTAAAATTTATGCCTGGAAAACTCCGATCCTGTTGGATTGGTCCTTTCGTTGTTACTAATGTTTTTCCCTATGGTGCAGTTGAGATTAAAGCTTTGGATACTAACAAGATTTTCAAGGTAAATGGCCATAGGTTGAAAATATTTCAAGAAGGTTCGAGTGCTATCCAGGTGGAGGGGATTGACCTGCAATTCCCTAAGTATTTACTCGACTGAAAGAAAATGAAGGTTGTCGAGCATAACGACATAAAACAACTGCGCTTTTGGGAGGCAACCTAAGTTTAAAGTTTCTTTCATTTTGATTTGGTTCAAATTTTACTTGATTTCATTTGTTTTCAGTTTGTTTTCATTAAAAAAAAATAATAATAATAATAAATTAAAAATTAAAAAAATCAAAAAAAAAAAATAAGTTAAGCAATTTTTTTTTGTTTATCTTTTTTCTTTTGTTTTCAGGAGCTCATTTGCTCATGATGAAATCGCAACTACTCTTCATTATTCCCATCATTAGCGATTGCTTTCACATCATGAACCATGTAGCTGCTTGTGGTATCAACTCCAAGTCTTCACATCTCAAAAGAAATTTTTTCAGGGAGCTTCCAAAACTCAATTTTTATGCAATTATTATTAATTTACTGATTGCTTTGCTGGCTATTTTTTTTTTAAAGTGGTTGAGTTGGTTCTTTATAAAGTTGAATGATGTTTGACTAGGAAATTTGCATGTCTAAGTGCTATTATGTTTTCTATCTTTTTCTAGCTCTGCATTTTTCTTATTTTGCACTTAAAAGATGTTGTTCCAAGCTCCTTGTTTACTTCTTACCTGTGCAATTACGATTACTTACATTGAGGACAATGTAAAAATTAGGCATGGGGGAGGATTTCCTTGTTGCTAAATGTTTTCATAAACCCCTACATTGGTTTTAATGTCAAAATCCAAATTTTTCAAAAAGTTTGGCTCTCTATATGTGCTAATTTGTCAATTTATTTCGAATGATTTAGAGCCAAAATATTTTTGTGTATCCCATTGGTTTTAATAGTTAAGAATATGCCATATTTGATACAAATTTAACCCTTTCCGTGAGTTTCCATAGCCAAAGAGCACACTTGCTCAATCTCTGAGGGTTATCATTCATGGTATGTTACTACACTGTTTTGCTCATGTCATACATTTCATAGCTGCATTGATGAATTTGTGCAATAAATGATAAGGGCATTTAGGTTTCGCCAAGTTTAGCTATCGCAAAATCATACCTTGATTGTTTACCCCTAGTAATCATTTCAAGTCTGGGCCTATTTTCGAGCTCTACCAATATAATCCGGAGCCTAATTTTTAGCTATCTTTTTACCTGTTATTCGGAGTGTATGATCACTGCTTGATTTTGGTTTGCAGAAAGTAGTTGTGCGGTGGCAATAGTGGTATGGTAGGTTTAGTATGATAGGATATGTGTTCTTGTTTTAAGTCCAATAATGTTTTAGCTCTGTATATCCAAAAAGTCAGGACAGTGCCAAAAAAAATGTTATGAAAAAAAAAATGAAATGAAAAAACAAAAATGAAAAAAAAATGCAATATGCTGAAAAAAAAAGAGAGAGAAAAGAAAAAAATGGCACTTATGTTCTGTTTTCTGTCCATTCAGTTATTTGATTTATGCTTCAATTTTGTTTTTGTTTTAATAATAAAAAAACAGAAGAAAAAGAAAGAAAGAAAATAATAATAAAGGGGGTTTGGTGTTTACAATATTTGAATATCTTTTTAGAACAGCATAACTTGGTCATCAAAAGTCTTAGTGACTTATGTTTTATGTAATAGTTCATTTAGTAGATTGGGATTTGGTTTGTAATAATATATCATTGTTGCCATCGTATGGGTCATCTGGAATGATGGTGAGAATTGAGTATGTGATTTACATATTGTCGGTAATTTAGCCTACTTATCTATATCCTACCCTTTGAAATTCCCTAGCCCCATTACAACCCTATGAAAAGACCCTTTTGATGTCGCATGATTTTTCATTTAGTGCTAAGAGGATTTGATACATGACAAACCTATGGAATGCATACTATGTTTATGATTGAGGGTTTACTTAAAAATATCCTTTTCTTTTGAGTGTATTGAGTGAATCCTTGTAAGGCATTATAGTTTGGTACATTCTGACAATGCTATCTGAAGTTGATGGGTGCACATGTTTTCTAAATGTTGAGTGATACTTTGCTTACTTGTTTTACAAAAAGTTGCCTAGTGCAAAGATTTTCCAAAATACTGAATTGGTTTGAGTTTTATTAAGATTTCAGTATGCTTGAGGGCAAGCATAGTTTGGTGGGGGGGGGGGGGGGAATTTGATAGTTATAATGAAATCCATTTTGTTATAATGTTAATAGTCATATTTTGATTATGTTTTTGAAGATATTAATGGATTTTATTATTATTTTGTGGTAGGTAATAAAGCGGTGAAAGAGGGACAATTTGAGTTTCTACTGGCTGTTTTATGGAGTTAAAAGATGAAAAGTTTTCACCACAAGAAGATGAGGCAGAGCTAGATTTTTGTTTTGAAGATTTCTTTTTACAAAGTCAAAGTGAGCAACTAAAAAATCTTTGACCCAAATCCTCAACAACTTGGAGATATATTAGAAATAAGATTTCTTAAGATTTTTGGTTAATGACCAAAGGCATTATAAATACGCCTTGATTGATCAAACGAGAGGCAACCCCCCTTACCCCACCGTAGTAAGCATTAGGCTACTACTTCCTCCCCTCCACTTTGGCCACCATTTTCTTGTAGTTTATTTTATTTTTTTATTTTTTTATTTTCTTTAAATACTTTAAGATGTTTTTAGTCACCATGAGTGGCTAGTTTTCTTCATTTGGTTCAAGGATTTTATTCTTTTATATTATATGTGAGACTACAAGTTTCATTTTATTTTTTCTACTTTTGATTCAAGTACTTATTGATTTTGATTTATTTTTATGAGTAGATACTTGATTAATCTAACAATTTAATCAAGTATTTCCTTCCTACTGCTACCAAATTGTTTATGTTGCATTATCGTCTTAAACATTTAGCACTAAGTAGCACATTAGCAGATTATGTATATTGGTAGTGACACGTTCAATGTGCATGATTAGTCTATCCAGGGGATCAATAGGACAAAAACTTTTTAATTGCAGTTATCTCAATTCTTTTAGTTTTTTTTTGGTTCAACTACTTTTTCAAAGATTTTATTGCTATCATAATTTAATATGGAACGCTATCGTGCCCAGTTAAATTATGATAAGTTTTGATTAGGTGTTGGGCTTGGTCAAATATTTTTTGGAAAATATAAGGTTTTTTTTACGGTTATCCTACTAAACCTACGATTGAATTCTTGATTTGTAGAAAAATTATTTTTAGTCGATGATCTGTAATATATTTGAAAAATATTCCTTGAACAAAAGTTTCCATTCTATTAATTTTTCTTAAGTTTATTTACTTTAATTTTTGTCATTTTTATTTTGAAGAAAGAAAAAAATCCCCCCATTTTGTTACTTTTACAAAGCCAAGTGTCAAAAGTCGGCTCTCTTGGGATTCGACCTGATTCCACTGTTTCTACAATTTAATTTTAGTCTGTTTGGAATTCAGATTAATTTTTGCGGGTCTCAACAAACCCGTCAGTGTTGCATATCTTTGTTGGTTATGGAGATAACTAATCAATAGTATTCCTTCATAGTTGAGCATTGTTTGCTCCTACCTTTCTTGAGTCTCTTGAATGTTCAAGACTGATCGAGTATATTGGATGGTGTCCTTATTCTTCTTAGTGTGAGTTGTTGTTTAATTCGAATCTTTCATAGATTATGCGTTCTTTTCTTGGTTTGAGTTAAGAGATAGAATTCCTTGGATAAACGATCGTCTTACTGTGAATTTTCCGCGCTCTTTTGAGTTTCATGGGATAGATAAATTATCTTCGTACTGTGAATTTGCTTCATCTACGAGATTGCTATCAGTTGGATTTGTGTTACCGACTGTTGCTTTTGTTGAGATTGTACCAGTGGTTGTTGGATCGGTGCTACAGATGGACCGGCTTGCTCGTATTGCACTGGAGATGGCTGAATCTGCTGAAATCGCACCAATGGTTGTTGTGCCTGCAATAATGGCTGTAACGACATCTCATTCAACTGTATTGCTATGATGACTGAGACTCTGTGGACTGTATCAATTGCTGAAGTTGTAACTGCATTTGAGACTGGACGGACTGTGAAATCTCATGAACTGATTGAGGCTTGATCTCTGCCAATGATTGATGCTGAGCTGGTTCTAGAGACTGTGTCAGCTATTGGGACTGTAAGGGCATCATCGATTGATCAGTCTGCTGGAGCTGCTTCGGTTGTGACCAAACACGTCGGATCAGTCCGGATGGCAATTGAATATCCTGATACTTCATCGGCAACGAATATGGTTGGTGGACATATGCCGATGCAAATGGTATTCGAAGATTTTGTAACTGCGTCTGTTGGATCTGTTCCGTTGCTGAATCATGATGTTGAATAGGTTGCAAGAAAACCTGCTGGATTGGTGCCAATGATAGCAGAATCTGTGAAGACTCTATCGGCGACTTGTGGGACTGGGTCGAATTGCAACTCCATAGATTGTGTCGTCTACTGATCAGCCTGCTGAAACCTCTCCAGCCGTGTTTGGGACTACTCGATATACATTGGTGATAGCTAACTCTGATGTGACTACAACGGCAGCTATTGAAAGGTTACCGTTTGCGGCTGAAACTGTTGAGGCTCATGATCAAAAGCTGTAGATTGTTGTCCACCATCTTCAAATAGAACTTGTGCATTGCTCTGAACACCATTGAGCCAATCATAACAACCAAATTGATGAAACCGATTGGTAAAAATGGCTTGCCCCCAAAGACAGGAAGGTTTTTGCATTGTGGGACTTTGATCTCGTTCATTGGTGCTGCCGAATTGCCGATCTACGTCATATTGATCACCTGATTGGATAAAATGGCATACAGCTCTGTAATCGGTTGCTTGAGAGTTGTAATTGGAATAAGCATTCAAAATCGGTGCACTAACTAGATTTGCATCTTTCTGGTGATTAGCACTATTCTGGCACCAACTGTAGCCATGGCACTCAATCTGCTGCTCCAGTTGTTGATCGGCGATATACATAACCCTAGAGCAAGGTTGTGCCGATGCAAGCTATTGGAAAACCTGCCCACCAAGTGGTGATGAGCTATATTGCAATGGGGCTGAGTGGATAGAGGTTGTTGAGATATTTGCCCACCAAGTGGTGATGAGCTATATTGGATGTTGGGGGGTGTGTATGTAAGGCTAGGATTTTCAGGCGACTGACTATATGGAACAAGTGTGTAGACCGGAGCTCCAGAAGTGTCAAAGGTATAATATTGGGTGTTTTGATACGCCATACGAAGGAAAAAGAGAAAGACTCTTTTTTTGGGGTTTTGTTTATGACACAAAAAACTTCATGGTATGATGACGAAATTCCACGATTTACAAATCAAACTAAAGCTTGTCCCACGGGCATGTCAAATTATGTTTGCCTGAAAATTGTGCACCCAAAACCGTGGGAAAAAAGGGAACATAAATCACCCAAAATACAATCAAATCAGACGATTGTGGTTGAGTTCGAACTGGCCTCGGACCAGGATTGAGGACTTAAGGTTATTGACTTTAGTTTGAGAAAGACGGATAGAAATTTAGAGAAAGTGGGGAAAAACCGAAGCGACAGCGTTTGACTCATAAAGTGAAAAATCCTAGTACCGGCAAACTATAGATGGCGCCAATGACATACTATTATATAGAAAGCAAAGATATTAGCGCCAACTAGACCTTGTCGATGACACGCAATGACACAGAAGACAGAGACAGGATGGACGTGCAGAGGTAGTCCGGCATACATAAATGTTAGAACACTTATTACAGAATAAATGAATTCGTCGAAGTAGAAAACGGTGAACACCTACCAAATTCTAAGTAGGAAAAAAAGGCAAACAACTCTATTGCTAAGCTAGGGGATAAGCAAGTATGATAGAAAGTGATGAACTACCATAGGGAAGGTAAAAACATGCTAAACGGTAAAAGAAATAATAAAAAACAAGGAAAACCAGTTGTATGGTTGATAGGTGATGATTTTCTCTTCATTGGACGAAACCGTTGCTACCTTATGCTTTCTTGGAGAAAAGGTATCTTAACATAGTCAATTTCATTGGAAATAGGTTACTATTCTCGCAGCAGTCTCCCAATCGGTTGATGATTCTTCTCACAAACAGCTCTTATTTTGGTAATAGAATTCTTTCCCAAACATATCTCCTTAATTACTGATAATTTTTCTTATAAAAAGGAGCAAGAAATCAGGAGGAATCTGCCTTAATTACCAATTAATCACGCAGCCAACTCCGGAACAATTCTATTCCCACTTGGCTTCTACTTTCTTTCTCCAATTCTGAAACTGTTCACATTCAACCAGTTTATATTGATCCCAAACGTATTTTGATCACTTTTGGACTATTTTAGGGCCTTAAAATATCATATAAATACACCAAAACTCCTGGGCCATGAATTATATCTCTCGTCGGCCTGATTTGCCAAAAACTGGCCGAACAACTATATACCAAAAACGAAAAAAAAAAAACATATGATATTCTTGAATTTGGGTTCCGAATGCCTAATATACTAAAAAAACAAAAAAAAAAACTAAAACATATGACAGTTTTCATAGGAAAATAATGATATATTAATATTACTTTAGAATATAGTAAAATTCGCACAACGTGCGGGCATAATACTAATATGTCAATTCTTGATTTTCGGCCATAGTTACTAGTTACAACTACAATGGTATTCGAACCAAAGTTGCAAATTACAACTTGAAGGCCACTTAAACAAAACCCTCAGTTTTCAAAAAAAAAAAAAAAGACTCAGGGCTGGCAAAAATATGCCAGCCAGAAAACAACTGTTACTTTGGGTACGATTTCGAAATCCTCAATGGCGAGTTTTTGACCAAGTAAATGGAATAAAGTAAAAATTAAAATAAAATAAAATAACTTGTGTAGACTGAAATATGAAAGGAAAACTGGAGTAGACATTGTATAGATTACCGGATTCTCAAAATCCGGTTCAATCCCACTTTAATAGCATTCCTGTTAAATAATTGATTTTCCCACATACGGGATTAGTTACTGTTGCCGATGGCAGACATCCTACAATATAAAAAATAATTAATTTTCGCAAGATTTGTAAATATGAATTCCCAAATCCGTCTTATGATTTTCTTTAAAATATTATTTTAAAAAAAAACATTAATTTTTGTACGAATTTTCTCAAAATTTAAAACGGATTTGCTCTATCTGATTTCTAGTTTTTTTTTTTAAAAAAAAAAAGAAATGGATTCAGTAAATGTTATAAATGATAGATTAAATTATTATCTTGTTTACATTTTTCTTTTTAGTATAATCCCTTTTACCCTATTAAAGTAGAAGACATGAAACTTATGTGGCAACTATGTATGCATCTGTTTTGGCTTCAATGCACCATATTTCAGATTTCAGAAGTCTTTTTGCCACGTGTAAATCTCTTTTAATTAGAAGCTATATAACTTTTCTTAAAAAAAAAACACATGTTTTACTACAAATAAGGATCAGTTACATTTCAAACGAATGGATATATTAATTCAAATTCAAATGTCCAATTGTATAGTTTTGCAGGCTTAATATAAACAAAAAATAAAAATACATAAATCCAGCAATTAAGAATAATGCCTTATAAACTAATTATTTATTATTCCCTTATAACCTCATATTTATAAGTATATTTTTTTAAGCCCCAAACCATAGCATAAATGATATATCCGCTAAATTAATTCCTCAAAAAATAATAATTCAATTAGATTTTAATAAAATAGTAATTTAGAGGGGGCGCCTGGACATCTGTCCGGGCCAAGCATCTAGTATGAATTAAAAGTAAAAATTTGAACTGAATAATAATTTAGGGACTGTAACATAATGAAATGAATTGTTTCGTTGTCGGACTGAAGAGGAGAGAGAGCTTCAACAGTTAGAAGAGTTTAACAAATTAGAGGTCATTCTTAATGTGGTAATCCTACAAAACCAGCTGTGACAGAGGTCTTTCTCTCTAAGAATTCAATCTGAGTGACCTCTGCAAACGGAAATTCAGTTACAGAGAGATCACTACAATAACTGGTCCGGGCAATTATGTTCAGTTGCTTTCAGTACCTAAGCTTTGCTTATTTCTCAAAAATTGTTTTAAGACATAAAAAAGCAAAACAAAAGAAAAAAGAGAAAAAGAATTCATTTTGTTTTGTTCAAAGTTGTTGATTCTGGACACTATTGTGTACGGTGACTTATTCTTACTTTAACAATAAAATCAATGATCCAAAAAGGTTGGGCTACTTTACAAATCCTAATAAAACAATAACAATATTACATAAACTCAGATTGAAAGTTGACATTTGAATCGAAATTACTTTCGTTTACAGATATGGGAAGCATTACAGCGATCTACTTTTCCCTCATTTAATCAGTTGAAGGAATTCGAGATAAATGCCAGATTCAAGAAACTCATTAACTTACTACATCAGTCCATCCGTCCTTTCAGGTTCTCTCTATCACGTTCGTCAGTTGTCCTGCACTGACAATGAAATAGGATCTTCCCACTGAACGCCTTAATTTTTTCTTTTGAATACCCTAAAAAGACTTAAAAAGAGTATTTTGTCTTTATTATTTATTTTTTTAAAAAAAATAAAGGAGCGGGCGACGCATTTTTTCATCAACCTTTTACGGCTGGCGCAGGAGGAACACGTCACCCTTTCACGGTGGCGTGCACTTAAAAGGGGGTGGCGCACAAATCATGCGCCACCACGCCCCCTTTCAAAAAAAATTATTTAATTAATTTATTTCTTTTTTAATTAATTGATTTAATTAATTCTCTTATTAATTTACTGAAAGAAGGTGAACACAAACAAATAATAAATTTTGGCACCGCTATTGATAAAGATTTCCATCGATTCTGCAACACTGGATACAAGTTGATATTCAAACGCAATACAAGAGTGTTTGACGTCGAGGAATTTCCGGTTGATGCAACTGGAGGGAAATATGGTTTTCGTTTTGCAAAGTTCTCTGACATTATTAAGCTAAGTTGGATGAAGGCTTTTTAATTGGTACTTTTAATTCAATTATGTAATGTTTATTTGTTTAAATCGTATATTATTAAAGTTTTTTTTTTGGTATTATTTACAGATGTTATTGGTGAGATATGCGGTGTTAGTAAGAAGCAAGCGGTGAACATCAAAGGAGTCGATAAAGATTTTGTGGATGTTGAGCTGCGAGATTTAGAGTATCTTTCATAAAATTAATTATTAAATATTATTTTCATCTTGAGCTTATTGTTTATCTTTGTGTGAAATAATCAAGTTGAGTATTATATGTGCAGTGGAATTTCTATCATTTGCACTTTGTGGGGTGAGCATGCCTATTTTATGTTAGACGATCATGCCCGAAATGAATCGGCTGGCAAAGTTGCTGTAATTATGCATGTCAAAATTGGAGAATTTTAGGGTTATAATATCTTTTCTTTTAATTTTTTAATTTATTTTTACAATTGAATTTTGGTTTATGAATAATGTTTTTCTTTTTTCAGGCAAGAAAAAAAATTTGTAATAACTATTCCGGAACAAGAATAGGCATTGACGATGAAACTATTGATGACATTCGTGATGTCAAAGAAAAGTAAATATGTCATCTTATGTACCTTATATTTTATTTATTTATTTTGTTAATATATTTGTTTTGATATTTTTTTAAAATATTATTTTAATTTTTTCAACATTAATTTTTAAATATTTATAGGCTATTTAAAAGGGATGGATTTGATTCTTCTGGAAAGATATCAACCCTATCTGTCACAACCTCGTCTTTTGTTCCTGAGGATATCCTAAAATGTGAAAGAAAGGATATAGGTGATATTAAGTTTGTGATGAAGGTACGTAAATTTTTTCTAATTTGCATGTTATGTTATATTTGTTTTTCAAAAATATATATATATATATATTTATATATATATTGAATTTGTTAAATAACTTTTGGTGCAGCTCGTCTGTGATTTGGTTTGTAAGGCCAAAATTGTTGAAATCGATTGTACCAAAGGATGGAACTATCTTGGTTGTCCTAGGTGCCACAAAAAAGTGCAAGAATTTTCATTATCTAAGATCAAAGTTGAGGATGAAACAAATGATTTTAAGACGGATGAGAATAATGCTCGCTCAGTTTACTACCGTTGTGTCGATGTATGTGGCAAAATTGTGCCAAATGTTACTCCAAGGTAAGAAAACTTAAACAATCACTAACTTGAAGTGCTTAATTTTGTTTTTTTTTTTTTTTTAACAATGCTGTCTTTTTAAATAAAGGTACAAAGTGTTTGTACTTAAAGATCAAACAAACAAGCATCCTTTTGTATTGTTTGATCGTGATGTGGAGAACATCGTGAAGATTTCTTGCAGAGATCTAATGGAGACAATGTCTGAGGTATATTTATAGTTTATTACTCAATTGTTTTGATTGTTAAACAATTTTTTTGTTAGTTTATACATTATATTTTTATTTCGTATAAATATTTGCAGAAACTTGAAGATGATGAAGTTCCTCTACAATTGTATCAGGTGGTGGGGAAGATAGGATTGTTTCATTTGATGTCACTGCTAAGAACCTTGGCAAAGAACAATATACATTGGGAATAAGACATGTAAACTGATCCTGATATAATTAAACGTTTCTCTAATTCTCCAATATTTGTTCCGGTACTACATATTTTTTTCGACTCTCACGATATAACACTATTCTCAATGTCTTTTTTCTTAAACTTCTTATTATTTTGATAAAGGATGATGATTATAAAATCGATTCGAATGATGAAGGAGTCTTGGGTTCTCAATCTATTGAATCAAATATGCTTAAGGTACAATTATAGAGTGTTTGCAACTGTATCTATCGTTTTGTTCATTTAGTGTTATTCAATGTTTTTAATAATATATTTATCTTTTTTAGAATTGTCATTCTTCACCCTCCAATGGGGAGGTTTACTTAGAAGACATGGAGAAAAGCATTGACAATACAAACAAAAAAAAAAGAAAATTGGATTCTTCACCGTAGGTTATGTCTTCCTCCAACTCTACTATTGTTTCACCATCTGAAGAAGATGACAACGATATGGAGTGAGACATGTTTCTGACATTCAATTTGGAATGATTTTCTAAGAATAAATATTGGATTTGTTTCCTTTTTTCTCTTATTAAATTCCAATAAAACAATATTATTACTTTTTTAAATAACTTGTGCGTACAACAGTATAGATTATTTGTTGTATCTTTTGAATAAATTATTCATGTAGTTTCTACCTTTATGTTTATCGGATTTTTTCCCGGGATGTTATGAAATAATAAGAAGTTTTTTTTAATATTTTCTTTTGTATTTGAAGTTTCTTAATATTTTATTCACAATATTATTTTAGATAGTTTTTTTAGATAGTAATTTTTTATTTAAGTTAATATGTTTATTACGAATAATAACTACAGTTAATGAAAAATTAATTTATTCTGAAAAAGAGGGTAATAAAATCCTTCACTTATTTAAAAATTATTAAAGGTATTTAAAAATTATTAAAGGTATTGTCTTATAATATCCAAAAGATGGAATTCTCTTTCCTTTGTTTTTTGAGGTTATTCTTTATAATTTTTTGATTATATTTGGACATATATTCCCAGTTGATGAAATGTTTTTCATGTTTCGTTTTCCATTTTTTTGTATATTCTTTTATTCTCATTTTATTTATATGGACTTTGTTTCTAATATTATTTTGTTATATATGTGAATTGCATTTATAAAAATACTTTTCAGTTTAAATGAATCAAGTACTTCTGTTTTAGATGGACGATTTAATATGCACATAAAAAACATTAACTAATAAATTTTTAATCAATATAAAATAAGATTATTTTAAAGCCAATAAGTTCAAACGTAACAAGAATATTATTTATCCTATTGAATAAATTACTTTGTTACAAGTAATTCGAAAAACAATTTATAGCTAGACTCCTGTGGCAATTTTTCTCGGACATTGATGTAATAATGTTTGTATACTTCTCCATTATTCAATACATATTTTGTTAACAAAATTTATCTTTATTGCCACTAAATCATGTGTTTTTTGATCTTTTTAAATATCATGATATTTAAGGTAAATAATATATAAATTTTAAACTACATAATGTTTATCTTTATTGCCAGTAAATCATGTGTTTTTTTTATTGGTATCATATTTGGAGAAATTATATTTTACAATAAAAAGATTTATTAATAAAGAGATAATTTCTGTTACAAATATTATCTCAATTGTTTAAATGAATCAGTTTTCATTATAATAATATATTCAATAATTATCTCCTTTTCAAAATAAATCTGTTTGTTATTTTAATTGTTTTAAAGAATATATTAGTTATAAAATGACTCTATTACTTAATATTAGGAAAGATATGATTGTTAACTAATTTGATGTTTTAAAATTCAAAACATTAATAAAGATAACATATACTACTAATACTTCAACTATTTATTGAACGAAACGAGTTAACTTTATTTGTTCAGCTTTCTTTCAAACATGTGTTTTCGGTTCTTAAAAAATGAGTGTTTATAGTCAAACTATAACCCTTCCAAGTTCATATCGCGAAACTGGATTGGTAAGATTTTTTTATTATTATTTTTTAGCAAGTAATTCATGTGATCTCTTTATAGTTATTTTCTTTTCTCACTTTTTTTTTTTTTGGTTTTGATGTTAGCTTTTGGATACTGGTTTGGCCAAACAGTTGGAAAAGAAACATCTTAATAAACAGTTGATCGTAAAGTCTTCTGATGACAAAAGCCACTTCATAGATATGTACATCAATGACGGCGATCGTACCCACCTTTACGGACCGACTCTTAATAATTTTATTGAAGTTTCTGGAATTTGTCTCCACCACACTTTACTGTTGGTTTATCATCCAGATGGTTATTTGAAGATATTCCGTTTTGGTCTTTCTGGTATTGAAGGCGGTAGATCTAAATCTAAATCCTTAATGGGTGGTCCTTTTCTTTTGAAAATGAATCAGGAGAACCTAAACTTTGGCGTTAGTAATTCATTTTGATTATTTTTTTGTAAATATTTTTGTTCGTTTTGGAATCTTATAGAATTGTCGAATTTCTTTACAGAACATTATTTGTTCTATTTTTCATATTAATATTAAAATATTTTAGTTTTATAAAAAACTTTTCTTGAACAGAAGTCCAAGTATTCTGCATATAGATTTTTAAATATTGTAGTTAACTATAGTTTATCATATTATTTGTTTATTTCAAAACCATTTAATGTGTTAATAACGAATTTATTTACAGCATATCCGGAAGCATTATCTCGATCGCTGTCATCGGCCTAAGAATGAAGAAGTGGCGATTGTCTGTGACGACAAAGATCAGGTTCATTTTCTGGAGATTGTTCGAATTAAAGGGAAAGCAGTTGGATTATCTGAAAAATCTTGGAAAAATTTCACGAATGCTACTATAATGAGTATGGTTGCAAGTTTTTGGTATTTAATTATCGATTCGGTGTTGAATTCTCTGTGAAAGGTTTTGATAAGTTTGGTATTTCGTGGCAAAGGTCTTACGCAATAAGGGATTTGGAAAAAGGTTTAATTTATATTTGATTTTTTTTTTCATTTGCATAATGTGTGAAAATTTTGTGGCTTTTTATAATTATTATTTGACTCTTACATTTCAAGTAAAACAACGCTATGAGATCTGTTATTAATATGAATACTCCTGATTATGATACTTTTGAATGTATAATGAATGATGATGTGCTTGAATTAGGAGGTGGAAGAATCATGGTGAGTAATATATTTATAATATAATTTTTATTATTATTTTTTTTTTTTGGTAAAGGTAAATGATATATTACTCGAAACTGAACTTGTGATCCTTACACTTATATTTACATTTCACTTCGTTTCTATACAATCAACTATTCCTCTACTTCACTTACATAAGAAAAATGCCTTTTGAGATCAAGTATTTCCTCTCTATTCTGGTCATTTTTGTACTGCTCTACTGCATTCTCCATTTCAGTTCTTGTTTTATTGCCACAACTCTGTCCACCATCCTCTTTTCATTTGCAAATCTTCTAGCATTCCGTTCCATCCAAATATTGTATACTCCAGCCACTATTGCTCCTGCTGCCAGTTTCCGCTTTTGGTTCTGATAGTTACAGCCATACCTCAGTCTCTGCTGCACTTGTCTCAGCTGCTTGCCTCGAATTTTAACACCAACCTATTCCATCAACAATCTGATCATCTTCTCTGAGTAGCTGCACTCAAAGAACAAGTGAGCACAACTCTCTGTAACTTGTTCATACACAGCACGCATCCCACCTGCAAATTAGCAATCCTCAACCTGTGTAACCTTTCACTGGTAAGCAGCCTATCCTGCCATGCAAGCGAAGTGATAAAGCTATGTTTAGGCAAATAGACTTTATTCCAGATCATCTTACCAGCGGCAAACTCTGGTCCTTTACTCCTCCAGTGGTTATACCCTGATCTTGTAGTGTATTCTTTCTTCCCTATCTCCCACACACCACTACTGTCTAATCCTCCTTTCAGCTTCTGCTTAAGTCCCATCAGCTTCCTCAAGTGCCAACTACAGTCTGTTGGCACTTCAAATTCCCACAACGTCTTGCCCTTTAAATAGTACTAGATGTTTGGCCCAGGCAGATGCCCGGGCGCCCCTTCTAAATTACTATTTTATTAAAATCTAATTGAATTACTATTTTTTGAGGAATTAATTTGGCTTATATATCATTTATGCTATGATTTGGGGCTTTAAAAAATATACCTATAAATCTGAGGTTATAAGGGAATAATAAATAATTAGTTTATAAGGCATTATTCTTAATTGCTGGATTTAGATATTTTTATTTTTTGTTTATATTAAGTCTGCAAAACTATACGATTGGACATTTGAATTTGAATTAATATATCCATTCGTTTGAAATGTAACTGATCTTTATTTGTATTAAAACATGTGTTTTTTTTTTAAAAAAAAAATTATATAACTTCTAATTAAAAGAGACTTACACGTGGCAAAAAGACTCCTAAAATCTGAAATATGGTGCATTGGAGCCAAAACAGATACATACTTAGTTGCCACATAAGGTTCATGTCTTCTGCTTTAATATGGTAAAAGGGATGCGTGAATCCATTTCACCCAGAGAACATATCCACAGCAATATCCCATAACTGTTTAGCAACAGCAACTTGGTTCCACATTCCAGGCTCCTTGATGTTTAATCCACCCTCATGTCTTGGTCTACATATAGTATCCCACGCAACGAACGCCATTCTGTGCCCATGTTCAGTTTTCTCCTACAGGAATTCTCTACACACTCTTGTTATCTGAGTGATCACTTCTTGAGGTAACAAAAAAGCATTCCCCCAATAGGTATGCATTGAGGACAAAACAGAGTTCACCAATTGATTCCTGCCAGCATACGACAAATGTTTGGTGCTCCAACACTTGATTGTCTTAGTTATTCAATCAACCAGCTGCTTACATTCATCCGTATTCCATTTCGTAGGTGATATTGGGAGCCCTAGATATCTCATAGGGAAACAACCAACCTCAAACCCCGTGATTCCCTGCAACCTCATTTCCATTTCTGCACTAACTCCGGCACTGAACAGATTTGATTTATTCTGATTTACCCTCAGTCCTGTTGTATCCCCAAAATGTTGCAGCACCTCTCGTACTCTTTTCACCGATGTTTCCTCAGCTTTGTATAGGATGATTAAATCATCCGCAAAACCTAGGTTTACAATTCCTAACTTCTCACATTTCGGATGAAAGTTAATCTGCTTCTTTTCTACCTCTCTCTTGAAACTCCTTGTAAGATAATCCATTAACATTACAAATATTAACGGGGATATGGGATCCCCCTGCCTTAATCCCCTTTTCCCCGGAAAGAAACCAGTGCTACACCCATTTATATTTAGGGAGTAACTACAGCCAGTTATACATTGTACCACCCAGTCAACAAATTTCTCAGGAAAGCTATAAGCATACAACATTTCTTCGACAAAATTCCAGCTAATAGTATCATAAGCTTTCCTAGTATCTACTTTCATCATGCAACTTGACAACACATTTTTCCTTCTATACAGTCTAATTAACTCTTGAATTAAGAGTATATTATGCACAATTTTTCTTTCCTGTATGAATGCACTCTGATTAAGGCAAACAAGGTCTGGAAGTACCTGACTTAGGCAGTTACTCAGTATTTTGGAGACACATTTGTACAGGGTATTGCAGCAGCTTATAGGTCTGTAATCCACAGCAGTCTTTGGAATCTCCACTTTTGGAATCAGAGAGATGATGGTAGTATTCAGCTGTTTTAGCAGTTTTCCATGTCGAAAAAACTCTAACACAGCTGCTACTACATCAGTCCCAATGACGTCCCTGGCATATTTGTAGAATCCGCTCCCGTGACCATCCGGTCCCGGGCTCTTCGTTTTGTCAATGGAAAATAGTGCCCCTTGATTTCTTCTTTTGACACCTCTCTGATTAACTGCAGTTGCTGGCATATTGAAAGCTTTGCACCAGCTGCAAATATTTCTTGTTGTGGAGGGATCCTAGGTTCTTCCTTTCCCAACATGCTTTCAAAGTAGTGGACAAAATGACCTTCCACCTGCTGCCATTCAAACTCAAGGACTCCATTTTCTTTTTGAAACGAGATTATTCTGTTCTGCATTCTTCTACCCCTCAGACTCGCATGAAAATAAGCAGTGTTTTGATCCCCTTCCATAACCCATCTCTCTTTCACTTTCTGTTACCAATAGCTATTAATCTGTTTACTTTTCTGTAGCAATTCCACCACAGCTTCTTTCTCCTTCTTCTGTAATATCTCATGATCAGGGAATTGCACCAGTAATGCTTGAACACTCTCCAGATCCTTTCTAGCAGCCTGCATCTGACCTTCTATCTCTGTATAATGCTCTGAATTGAAAGCTACTAATTTTTTCTTCAACCTCTGTTGCTTCACCACCACCTGATATTGTTTTGTACCTTTTTCTGGAACATGCCATTGTTTCGTAATTACTTCCTTCAACACTAGATTATGGCACCACATATTATAAAACTTAAAAGCCGGTTTCCTTTTGTTCACTTCATATTGCCACTGAACCAGAATTGAGCAGTGATCTGAAATATTTGCAGGAAGCACAGTAGCGAGACTTGCATCATACTGCTGCATCCATAATCATTGACCATCACTCTATCCAACCGAGCTGCGATTCTTCTCCTCCAATCCTCCTATTACACCACGTATACAATTCTCCTTGTGTCTTCATATCCCATAGTTCACAGTGACTTACTACCATTTGGAATGCATCAGTATCCAAACTTAGCTCATGAACACCACCTCTTTTCTCTGCTGCTTGCAGAACACAGTTAGAATCACCAGGGACTAACCATTCCTCTTGGATAGTGCCAGCAATATTGATTAGTTGATTCCATAGTCTGTCTCTCTGCTTGACTTGAGGATCTCCATATACAACCGTCAACTTGAACCTTCTTTGTTTGCAATATGTCTAACTTCACAATGGATACATTGCTCATCTGACATAAGTATCCTTACATCAAAATCTTGCTGTTTCCATAAAACTAATATTCTCCCCCTTCTGGTCTCTTGTATGATTACTAAAGAAGCTATATTGAGTCCATTTCTTTACCATAAGGTCCTGTACTTTGTTGCCTGCTAACTTCGTTTCCACTAACCCTGCTAGTCCAACTTTATTAGCAGAGAGGTTATGTATTACCTCTCTGTGTTTCAGAGGGCTGTTAAGCCCTCTTACATTCCGAATAAAGAGGTTATACATTGAGGCTAGGCCTCTGGATAGTATAGTCTGTTGCTCCCCCATTCATTTGACCTCTTCCATCTTTGGTATTCCCCCTTTGTAGTAACTTAGAAACTGTATTCATACTGCCACTACTTCCCTGATGTTCCTCCATCACAGGCTGCTTCTCAGGCTCAGTAACTCTGACTTCCTGGCTAGCTTCTGCTGGCATTTGTGGTTGTACAACTATCTTTTCCTTCCATTCCAATCTCACTTTTGGTTTCTTTTCAGTTATCACAGTTCTGCACTGCTGCTCTCTGTGTCCAAACCCATTGCACTTGGCACATTTCACAGGCAACCAGTCATACTGTAACTTCTGATTTATCACATTGCCATTCTCATTCTCAAAGAGGACTTCCATAGGCATCTGTTCCTTAATGTCCATTTCCACCAGTACTCTTGCAAATTCAGCACGATCTGTTTTAGTTGTAGTGTCATCCATCATCAAAGGAGATCCAACAGCACTCATGATTTTACTTAAAGCACCTGCACTCCAGTACTTTAGCTCTAGTTTAGGCAATTTTATCCAGACTGGAACCTTAGAGATCTCCTCCACTCTAATTCCCTCCTGAATAGACCACTCTTTAACAATAAACGACTTATTATCAAAGAAATAGAGGTTATGTTTCAACACACTTTCTTTAGCTGTCATATCTTTGAATCGAACAACAAACAGACCAT